CCTCCGGATTGATGAATCCACCAAATCAAACACGTTAAGTTCGATTTCTCTGCAACCCGGAAGGCTTTCGGGTAGCGGGTGTTAAAACTCGTAGATTCACTAGTGGACGTTGTCCGAACAACTATTTTTACTGTTCTAACTCAAAAATTTCAAAAAATTTTCTGAATTTATAGTGTTTCGTTTTCTCAAAAATCACGAAAATTTGGTTTTTTGTTCCAAAATAGTTCCAACCACCTCCGAACTAAACTTAACCTGTTCTATCTATTATAGTAGTGCAGTTACGATGTAACAAACTAACTTAGAGCTTTTTTCCGTTTCAAAAATTATCGACATCTCAAAAATCGCGATTTGTGGGGGAATCAAAATATCGCTATTTTGACCCTAAAAACCGGTCTGCTTTCTGTGTTTTTCACTGAAAAACGGTTTAGGAGTATTAATATAGGCTATATAAGTAATAATATTAGTAATACTATACCCCTCCGGGTTTGTTTAATATCCGAATTAAGGTGCTTAACTCGGATATTCGCAGTTCGGTGAAGGGTCACTACAGTGCAGCACTGTCGAGCCCCCCACAGATTACTGTCTTACTTTTCGTACCAAAAGGGATACAAAACATGTTAACGATACGCAACATTCGATTGTTGTTGTCCTTGAGCCCCTTCTTGTTGCTCCTTGTACTGCTTGCCGGATCAGTCTTCTCCCAAGACCCTTCCGAATTGAGCGCAAATCAGCTGACCCTTCCGGATTGAGCGCAATTTATCATTAACGTGCTTAAATGCTCAAATAACCCTACAGTACAAGCCTCAAAAACGGGCTACAAAATTGATCGTAACAATCCCGACTGATGTAAATGCCTGTAACAACAATATATCTAACAACAACAAAGGGGAGGGTCGGATCACATCTTGTCTGGGGGGATGACTTCTACTGATTTTTTACTTTTTTACTGTTTTTGATTTTTTTTCGGTTATTTTTTTTATGTTTTTTGTTTTTTTTTGGTACTATACTACTTTTTGTTTGGTTTTATATATATCTTTAAGTGTTTTTGGTCACAAAGCTCTCAGGTAACGACGGGACCGCGAATCCCCCCACCCTTCCTGGTTCGTGAATTTTCGGTCTTAACTAGGTTAAAAAGCTATTCACGGTAATCCGGAAGGCTTCCGCGTTCCGAAATACCCTTCCGCCCCGGCGGTTTTGGCCTATTAAGGGCGTTAATGTGACCGCTCGGCGCGGAGTGCTCGTTAACGGTTCTGCCGGTCATGATGTAAAAAAAAAATAACACCCAGGAGCACCATAAAAAAAATATATGTAACATTCGCCCGGAAGATACATATCGACGGAGAACAAAACTAAGTCCCAAGACGACTGACTAACGTTTAAACAAGCTTTGCATGCTTTTCACCGTCTCTACCAAGCAAGTACTTTCGGTGGTCTTTCTAACATCGGGTCGACAAAAACGTTACTGCTTTCGGCTTCGGTCAAAACACTCAAATTAACTTAATTACATGCAGAAATAGTGAGCTCATGGCTGGGTCTCAGTATCCCCAGACCACGAGGTCACTCCTAAAAACAGGGCTACTACTACTTATTGAATTATTATTGTTTTTGTTCAGAAGATGGATCAACCCTTTTCCCCCAACTCCTAGCTTCTCATCTTAGCAGAATGAATTCAGATGTTAATTAAATTCAAATCAGGACATGACAGGGAAGCTAAAAGCTCATATAAGATGATAAAAGTTTCAGTCCCGAAACCCCTCCTGATTCTCGAAACCACTGAATCAAGCACGTTAAGCTTGATTTCTCTGTAACCCGGAAGGCTGGTTTCCACCCCTCACTGTTGTTAGCAACTGCCTTGCAACTATTGTAGCGACACAATAGTTGCAACTTGGAGCGGTCTCTGCTGCTTCTGCTTTTCTCTGATTCTGATTCTCAATTTTTTCGTTGTTGTCGTCGTCGCAACTATCGTTGTTGTGTTTCGTTTCGGTTTTTTCTCTAAAATGGCCGTTTTTGACGTTTCTTAGAATTGTTACGTCATCAATTCGAATTTTTAAAATTTAGGAATTCCCAAATCCTTCGGCCTTCCCAATTTGTCCAATCGTTCGAACAACACTCTTATTCCTTCAAAATCGCCAATTCGGAAGGTTCACTGCTAAAATTTCGAATATGCTGAATTTGCATTTTGATCCATTCTGGTCGAATGTCACACCTATTCTAGTAAATAAATTTGGGTAAAACTTACAGAAATATGTCTGCAATTCATCATATTCCTCCTCTTCTTGGCTGATCCCTTCCCCTGCGATTCCCATCACTTTCTTTCTTTGCACCAACTCCAGGGCTAGGGTGCCCATCAGATCACGCCCCAGGATTGACTGATGATTTCCAGATATTGCTGACACATGTGCTGGTGCTGCCCAACCGTTCAACGACATTGTCACTGCTACCTTTCCAAGTATATTTATTCGGTTGTTATTGTAGTCCAAGAATTCATCTTTTGAAGATTGTAGCTGAGTATTCGCTTTACCTAATGTTGTTTTTAGGTCCGTCATGCTGAAAATTGTCACTGGGGATCCGCTATCTATCCACAACCACATTTTCTTCCCTGATACCTCATCCTGGACTCGGGCCCCAGGGATATTCAGTTCAGTCTCGTTATTTTTCCTTTTGATGGACATCACCATGTAGTCGTCCGATCCTGACGTCATGGATTCATTTTCCCCGCTTCCCTGCTGATTCACGCCAGTGGATCTTCTGCCAAATCATTAACATTATGCGTGCTCTGATGGTGCTCATTTTCATCTCTGACTAAGCCGACTCGTCCTCGTCCTCTCCATTGGTTGGTACCCCTCCTAATTCCTCTGCATGTTCGTTCAAAGTGTCCCAGTTTCCGGCACGAGTTGCATGTTGCTCCCTTTGCAGGACAATTTGCTATATGATCAAGAGGTGGTGCGTCGCACCAAGAAGATAAAAATTGCGACGCACCAAGAAGATAAAAATTGGTGCGTCGCAATTATAACACCTACGGTTATTGCCGCTTCCCCCACTGCTTGATCCTTGGATGTAACCTCCACGTCCCCCGCGTCCTCGACCTCGGAAAAATCCTTGTCCCCTCCTTATATTATTCACTGGTTCTTGTTTTATAGATATTGAAGCCGGTTTTCCAGTATATGATTTATATGCGCGCTCACCATGTTCATACGATAATGCGATCCTGGGGTAATTTGTTGATCGTAATAATTCTCGTTGGCAATCCGATTCCCGCATGTTCATAATAAAAATATCACGAACATTTTCGGCCGCATTTGCAAAATCACATCTGCCCGCTAGAGCACTTAATTCCGCGTGGAATTTCTCGAATGTTTCATTCTCCCTCTGTTTTCTTCCATAGAAAAGTCATTTTTCATGGTTTACATTACGCTCACGTTGGAAAACATTTTGCATCTCGTCAAGGACCCGTGGGTAACGTTCCGTTTTAACATTCACCGCCGGTTTTCGTGCTTTGAATATCCTTTGCGCTTCGTCTCCAATACAGAGGTATAGATTAGACCCAACTTCTTTTCCGCATCGATACGGTTTTTTCCATTTACCTCCTCTGGCAACGCTGCAATAGCCGCCGCATTTAAATTACGCGCAAAATAGAAATCATCGGGATCAATGTCATATTTTGCTATCATCCCCCAGTGCAATTTAACTATCCACTCCTCCCAGTAAACTGGAGGTTCCGGTGTTCGTGCGTCCCAAAATGCTATTATATTAAGTGGATTTTCCCCCGCCTTTTTTCTCTGCTGGCTGCGCCATGTTGAAGTACGTAAAAGTGTAGTATCGGAAAAAGGTTAGTTGGTTAACTTTTACTGTAAGCAACTGTTAGGCATCAAATCGAAAAATCTTACTGCACTGTTCTATTTCAGATCATATCGGACGTTAGAGATCGCAATGCCACGACAGCAGGTCTCCAGACAGAAGGAACAAATTGATAGCACTTACATAAACTCAAAACTTGTCCCTATCTCAGTTTTATATTCGAATGATTCATGTTATAAAATTTCAAAAAACTTTAATTGAAAACTCTGTGTTCGCGCTATTTTATATTGCAACTTTTTGTCGTGAAAGTTTCACCTTGGCTGTTTTAACTGCCTTTTTCCAAATAGTTTTTTGGTTTAACTTTTTTTGCTGTTTTATTCAGAAGCGGATTTAAGGGTAGGACTGGGGGACGCCTCCACTCAGGGATTCGACCCCCTGCCGACCCACAGGCTCATCCTTTGTATTATTTTGAGATATCTATGTTTGACTCACTGACATAATTTTTTTTGAAGGCGATTTTGGCGCCAACATATGCCAGTTTTGAGGGAAGTGGGCAACAACAAAAAAACGCATCTTTTGATCAAATTTTTTCCAAAAGACTGAAAACGCTTCTCCTGGCCTGTTTTTTTTAAAATAAAAATTAGCCTGTAGTGATTGGGGAGAGATCCGAAAAGGAGACAATCTGAAAAGTGAACGACAAAATTTAAAGGAAAAACTAAGACAACAAAGACGATGAATCAAGAAAGTAGTGATACAAAAGGTCTTAACAATGACAAAGATTTCAGTGTTTTTGTCCTTTTTAGGCTGATTAGGATGATTGCACCTTTCTGTACTGCATGGAAAACAGTTGTTCGTGGCAACTTAGTTCTTTATTTGGGTTCTATCATGCTTTTCTAACATAGAGGTTAGTGAAATCGGTAAGATTCCGACAAGATTTATACTCGTGGTACTTTACAAGATAAACTCGTGGTATATACTCGTTTTAAAGTATAACATTGTTCATACTAGGTGTTCGGCACCATCGGTTAATTCGTTTGACACGACATTTGAGTGAACAGCTAACAATGAACTCATAAGAGTGGATTGAAACAAATGTTGAAGCTTTCCATCGTAAAATTTCAAAATGACTTGAATTTTACAAACGGAAAAATGACTCAAATTCAAGTCGCGCCCTTCGAGAGAGCAAATTTCTGGTTATTGAAACAAACAGTTTTTGGAAGAGTAAATGTTGATGCTCGGAAGGTCAAATAATTAAGAAGGTCAAATATTTGTTTGCATACCTTGTCACATTTAACCATCGGGCTGAAATAACATTATAGATTGAAATCTATCGGATCAACTCATTTTTTTTCTGGTGAGTTTAAATTTGCCTTGATGTTTTAAATAATGGCGTTTCAAATCAATTGAAAAAAAAACTTCATTATTTTGCAACAGAAACTGGCACCTTTTTATAGTCATACGTTCTCCTTATACGAGACTTTCAAGTTCATCAGGACTTCGTCATAGTTGAAAATCTGACAATAAGTTTTCAGTAAAAAAATCCGGATCGACTCAACTTTCATCCGTAAAGTAGACCAAATAGAGACAGAGTTCTATTAAAGTTTCGTGGATGTGATGGTCTGAAAAATGAGGTCATTCCGCTGAAAATTAAAATTTTTTGAAACCCAATATGGTATTTTTTACCCTGAAGTGCGACTGGTCAGTTTTTCTGGTCCCCTTTTATTCAAACGATGGTATATAAACCAGACAGAGTAGAAACCAGCTACTGTACCAGCCGAAAACAATTGAGCAGCAGTTTCTTGAAAATCACGCTAATATCAGCACAAATAACTTTTAGATGGCTTGTAGTTCTGATGTTTCACTCGCATTTTTCTGAAACCTATGTTTAAATAACCTTTTTTAAAACCGTTTGACGCAAACTTTTAATTCGAGTAGGTGAAACCAAGACATAATATGAGCAGCTCGGATAATCTGGAACCATTACTGCTCAAACGGGCAACCAATTGGCTTCCTCTTAGCGATCGGGGGGAGGGGGCAGAAGATGGGGGGACTGCGCAAGAGATGAGACGCGCTCACACATTCACAAGCATAGCAAACAGTCTTATGAGCTACCAAGAAGGATGTGGGGGTGGTGGTGTTAATGGGTATGGGGGCGTTTCGCAAAACAATTTGGGTGTCCCGGGGCAGTATACGGATATGGATGATGGAGATTATGATGGTGTTAACTACAAAGACGACATCATTTCATCACGATCAATCCACCTTGATGGTACGTATCATAGTCATCTGGAGTTCAGTTGTTCGGCTACTTTTACTCAATAAAGAAGTGTGAAGTATTTCAATTTTATATTGTTTTCAAAAATATATATAGCCCTTTGTCGTTCAGCAAAACGTCTGTAATGAACAATTTGGTATCTCATTATTTACCATGCAATCGCGGCTCAGTTTGAATAAAAAGTTTCCAGAAAAGTGTTCAACGTTTTCAGAAGTTGGTGCAGAAATACCTAATATGCACGATCAGACGATTACTTTTTACTGGATATATTATCGTGAGGAGTTTTGAAGGCCGAGTTATAAAATCCAAACAAAAAATTTTCAATTTAGGAGCCAAAACTGACGTTAGGAAATCTGTAATTTTTCTAAATAATGTTGCGTTGTTCAAGATAAAAGCTTTAACTCAGACGGCGACTTGACTGAGCTCTCGTCAAACTTCGGCAACTTCGGCTTCGGTCCGTCTATTCGGAAGTCTATGTCGGCGAAATACGAGAAAGCACACAGCAAGTGGTTCCACAAGCTAGACCGGTTTGGACTCGCTTTTTTCTACGAGAAACGAAGCCTTTTCAGGGTTTTTTTGTTCACGCTTCTATGTACTGTAGCTGCATTTATCTACATGATTGAAGACTATCAACAATGCACCACTAAGTTTATGGGTCTAACTAAATCAGCGGGTGCACGAACTTTGGAAGGGTTCCAAGTTAATTCTGGGCTGAAATATTACGGAGTCGATGTGAAAATGAGGGGCATGTTCAATCCGAACATTCAAGACACGAGCGCAATGAACGAATCACTTTTCGTCTCGTTTTGCAACAAAATAGGGATCTATTATACTAAACGTCCCTAAAAAGCAGTGGAACAAGTTTGAAAATACTGACACGGTAATGAGGAGCATTTGACCTTGCAGGAATTTGTTATTTTCTTGCAATATGATTAAGCCTCCAACGAGTTTTGAAAAAAAAATGCTTTTCAGAAGCTTTTGAGGTATCGATAAAACCGTCGCAATATTTTGGAGCAGCCAAAAATTATTATCACTATTACTAAATTTTGCTTGAAAAGAAAGTTTTAAGGCACAAACAGTCTAATAGATCCCAAAATAGGCAAAAACACAGAGTGTTACGGGGATAAATACTTGGCATTGGAGGTTAACGGGTCAGACCCAGAACTGATCGAATGGACCCAAACCCTCAAACACGAGGACCACACAATCATGCAGTTTCAACTGATCAATTTTCGCAGGTAAGTGTAAAGTTCTGAGTGTTCTAAGTGTAAAAAACCAAATACCGGAAAATTGTGCTCAAAATTCAAACAATGCAAGAGAAAAGCGTGAAAATTATTCAGTTTTGGACAGCTTAAAGGATATTTTGATAAGTTGAAAAATTTTTCGCATTCGTTCATTCTGAGAAAAGCCCCCTAAAAACACCAAAAAGCAAAACTAGGGAAAGTAAGGGCTATAATCAGGCCAGAAGGGTTGAGTGCGCTAAAATTGACAAGCAAACAGCACCCTTTAAACTTTCCAAATTTGACTGTTATTCGCGTTTGATTATTTCACATTCTTAATTCTGATTGGATCAAACAGTTTTGGGCATTCGGTCCTCGGGTATGGGAGTAACCCACAAAGCGCATTCAACGCCTTACTTTTGGTTTCTCAAGTAGTACAAATTTCTCAACAACCTTCTTGTCAGGTACTTGGCGAGTGAAATCAATGAAATTCGATTCACTGACAATATACTCCAGGCTAATTGATTGTTATCTGATTTGCAGCAGATATAAACATGGCTTAAGTTTAGGATTTCGTTCGAGGTGGAATACTGCTTCGTGACCAACTTCTCCCGAGCAGAGGTGCCGATTGCCATTTGTCTCCTGATGATGCTATACATTCTTCTAATCACAGAGATGATGCATAAGGTACTTTTGCCATCCTCGTATCCTCAAAAATGAGTTTTTCGACACTTAAAAATTGAACACTTCTATTAGAAATTTTAATTCAACCTTTTTTAGAACTCTTTTTCAATCTAGTACACATATTTATTATCTGGTCAGGGGTCGAGATTTTTTATAAATCATTGATAGAAACAGCGGAAAGGCTGAATTAATTTCATCTCACTTGTCCGTGTCTCATACTGGTTGGAATGAATTGAGTGTGAACTTGTTGTCTGTTCCAGACCCTGGCAGCCATGTTGACCTCCACTTTGTCGCTGGGTGCTCTGAGTCTGATGAATAAGGGACCTGATCTGGACACCGTGGTCGACTGGATAGAGTGGGAGACTCTGTTTCTCCTCTTTGGAATGATGCTGCTCGGTGAGTGAAAAAAAACCAGGGGTGTATTATTGGAAAACCGACAGTGAACAAGGGGCAAAGGTCACCGCTTATCAACATGATCTGTTGTCATTGCTTGAGGATGTAATGCAAAGCCAACACAAATAACAACCCAGTCGAGAAAAATAATAACCCAGTCGAGAGAAATTACCGAAACTTGCATTTAATTGGTCTAAATTTGCTTGCTAGCTCGCATATTTGTACTTTCTCGGGAAAGAAGGAGAAAGGGCAGTTTGCAAGGGTGGTTCCAGTATTTTTTTTGGAGACGGGGGAGTTTCAAAGTAATCGAAACTTTTGTCAACTTTTTTTCTAGGTCGATCCAAACATTTTTTATTTCTCGGAGAGGATAGCCATATCACTCTCCGATGGTGATAACTCACTGTTATAAAAAAAGTGTAGCCCAAAATAAAGCCACCCAAAAGTGTTTCTAGAAAGAAAAGAATAATCTTTAAAACATTATCAACCTCAGATATGGCGCCTCAGAGTTGAGATATGGCGCCGCTGTTTTGAATACTATTTTTGTTCATCATGTTTGTTTGTTGGTTTGTTTGTTCAGTGGCTGTGTTTGCGGAGAGTGGTTTCTTCGACTATTTGGCAGTTGTCGCCTACAGATTGTCGAAGGGGGATCAGTGGAGCATCATCTTCATCCTCTGTGCAGTCACCGCCACAACATCCGCATTCCTTGACAATGTCACCACCATCTTGTTATTGACACCTGTCACCATCAATCTCTGCCAGGCTAGTTCTTGTATTAATTGAGGAATAATGACGATTTTAAACAGAAAACCTGAACGAATCTAGCTAAAAAAAACACACATCCTCATATGACCCGTGTCGAGATCCGCTACCATTTTCAGATTTTTGTGACAAAATTTTGGCATTTCCAGACTTTCGCGACCAAATTGATTCGTCGCGACTTTCGCGGCCGAGACGGAGATAGCGCGACCCGAATTTTGCAACCGATATTGGTACGTCCGGACTTTCGCAACCCAAAAAATCAGCCAACTCGCGAACAACGTGGAGACGGTGCAACCAGTGCGACACAGGAAGCCGAACATGCAACGAAACTCTTTCTAGTCTTTAGCGACTGAGATGTACTCGGCGCGACTTTCGTGACCAAGCTAGAAACGGCGCGACTCTTAACAAATTTCTGGCAACTTTTGCAATCAAAGTGGAGACGGCGCGACTCAGAAAACGACGCGACCGGACAATCATCGGCGCTATCGGTATGACCGGCGCGACCAAACTTAGTAATTTCAAGGCTTTCACGACCGAGGTACACACCGGCAATTTTGTGACCAACTTAGAAACGGCGCGAAGCTTAACAAATATTTGGCGACTTTTGCAATCGAACTGAAGACGGCGCGACCCAGGAAACGCTGCGACTAAACAAAATCAGCGCCATCGGTTTGGCTGGCGCGACCAAAAGGTGTCGTTTCCAGTCTTTAACGATCAAGATGAAGACGTCGCTACTCAGGAAACGGCACGAAACAACAAGCAACGATGCGACCGGCTTGGCCATCGCAACCAAACTTTGTTATTCGAAGATTTTTGCGACTGAGGTAGAGACGGCGCAAATTTTGCGACCACGGTGGTGACGGCGCGACCCAGAAGAAACTTCTGGCGACTTTTGCGACTGAAGTGGAGACAGGGCGATTCAGGAAACGGCGCGACCCGACAAAAATCGGCGCTACCAGTATGGCCTTTGCGATCAAACTTTGTCATTTCGCGTCCGTAGTGGAAACGGCACGAACAACAACAAATTTTTTGCAGCGCGGCCAAGAAAAAATCGTTTGAGGTTTTAGCGACCAAGGTAGAGATGGCGCGTTTTTCGCGACGAAGTTGTAGACGGCGCGACTCGGGATTCGGCGCAACCGGACAGCACCAGCGCAACAAGCTTAGCCGGCGAGATCAAACTTACTCATTTCAAGACTTTCACGATCGATGAATGTATAATGAAAATTGAAAATTGTATACCGTGCCCATCACTCGTCTACTAACTTGACAGACTATAGATTAAAAACTTAAACTACAGTCACGGGACGAATAAGCTGCAATCTTGGATTTTCAAGCGCTGAAATGAATCATAAATTTTTCACGTTTCTGCCGTTTTCTCTAAAACTGCTCGAGAATCACAATTTTCGGCATGGGGTTGACAAAACTGTTAATCACAATATAACCGGATAAGAAAACGGAAAAAAATGTTTTGAAGGCGTCATTTGGTCATTTAGGATAAGATGTTGTCAGTGCAAAAAAAGCATCAAAAGCAGCAGAAGCAGTTTGGACTTGAGAGTATTCACAGCTAGGCCCGCAATTAAGTTCTTTTTGTACGTAAAATGAATACAAAAAAAACTACTAAGCTACGAAATTAATTCCGATTGTCTCTTTTTATAAGTCGATGAATTTTCAGTCACCTTCTGTCTAAGAGCCTGACAAAACATTTTATTTTTTTAAGACGGAAAACTTATTCGAGGATATTGCTTAGATCCCTATTTTTTCACCGAATCCTTCTAAGTCCGAAGTTTCAAACTGCAAGTTGTATGGTTTTTTATCCAACTAAACTCTAATAAACAATTTCACCTACCCCATATCCAAATTTTAACGATGAGTCTAAAAGTTTCCTATCCCTTGACTGTTGTCATATTTCAAATCAAATAAAGATCTTATTATTTTGATTATGGGAGTTTGCCTTTGCTTTTATAAAAATAAAAATAAACAGTTTATAATACATTCAATAGTACATTTTGTTCTTTTGTTCTCAATGGCTCGTTTTCTAAGAAGTTAGAACATGAAAAAAGATGTGACTACTTCTAATCTGAAATTAAACAAGACTGCTCGTATATCAGGGCAAAGCCCTGAATGTTCTGTTCTGACTGCCCTTTAATTGTAATTCATATCGAATAGTTTTTAGGAAAAGAAAATTTTGAAAAACCTGTAAATCTTTGACAGAATCAAAGTGTGAAACTTTGAGCCGTACGAAATTAATATGACCAATTAGCTAGCCTGAATTAAATTTGGAACAACTTTGTTGTGCGGGATAATTTGCCACGCATAATTACTTCGTGTTACGCTCTCAGCAATATGCATAAATTCTTCAAGCGCGCATAAATTAGTCCAAAAATGGCCAATTTGGCAACCTCCGAACTCCCAGACATAAAAAAATGATCAGAGGTTAAATATCTTTTTGACTTTGTTGTCAGTGCAAAAAAAGCATCAAAAGCAGCAGAAGCAGTTTGAACTTGAGAGTATTCACAGCTAGGCCCGCAATTAAGTTCTTTTTGTACGTAAAATGAATACAAAAAAAACTACTAAGCTACGAAATTAATTCCGATTGTCTCTTTTTATAAGTCGATGAATTTTCAGTCACCTTCTGTCTAAGAGCCTGACAAAACATTTTATTTTTTTAAGACGGAAAACTTATTCGAGGATATTGCTTAGATCCCTATTTTTTCACCGAATCCTTCTAAGTCCGAAGTTTCAAACTGCAAGTTGTATGGTTTTTTATCCAACTAAACTCTAATAAACAATTTCACCTACCCCATATCCAAATTTTAACGATGAGTCTAAAAGTTTCCTATCCCTTGACTGTTGTCATATTTCAAATCAAATAAAGATCTTATTATTTTGATTATGGGAGTTTGCCTTTGCTTTTATAAAAATAAAAATAAACAGTTTATAATACATTCAATAGTACATTTTGTTCTTTTGTTCTCAATGGCTCGTTTTCTAAGAAGTTAGAACATGAAAAAAGATGTGACTACTTCTAATCTGAAATTAAACAAGACTGCTCGTATATCAGGGCAAAGCCCTGAATGTTCTGTTCTGACTGCCCTTTAATTGTAATTCATATCGAATAGTTTTTAGGAAAAGAAAATTTTGAAAAACCTGTAAATCTTTGACAGAATCAAAGTGTGAAACTTTGAGCCGTACGAAATTAATATGACCAATTAGCTAGCCTGAATTAAATTTGGAACAACTTTGTTGTGCGGGATAATTTGCCACGCATAATTACTTCGTGTTACGCTCTCAGCAATATGCATAAATTCTTCAAGCGCGCATAAATTAGTCCAAAAATGGCCAATTTGGCAACCTCCGAACTCCCAGACATAAAAAAATGATCAGAGGTTAAATATCTTTTTGACTTTGAACACATGAAGTCTATATCTTCATTGGGGTATTAACAACTTTGTCAAAAACTATTATTTCGATCAACGAAAATTGACTGAATAAAATAATCTCACCGAGCATTAATATTCCGTTTTCTTCGAAAGTCGGAACAACAAGACTTCTCGTATCAGGGCGAAGCCCTGAATGTTCCGACTGCCTTTTAAGGTTTATGGAGCAGTAATAACATTAAAAAAATTCAATGAAATAAAACAAAATGAAAAAAAAAATTTCTAAAACTTGAAATTTTTTTATGAAAATCATCCGCCCACACGCCATATGAAGTACAAAAAGAGAGATTTCGTTCCTTGTAACAAACCAATTATGGCAAATAAGCTTCTTTCTACCAATTTGAAATGATTTCTAAGACGATATAAATCTCCGCTTAAGCGTTAATAGTGCGAAACATATCGCGCGTTAATTGTACCAAATTGGCCAAAATGGCAATGTTTGAACCCCCATAACTTTACTTTACGAAAAACGATCACAGGTGAAATGACTTTTCAAATTTAAGCTCAGGACAACACTACAATTTGAATGATATGTTAAAAATCCCGTCTAAAATCACTAGTTAAAAAGTCGAAGTTTGAAAAAAACCACCTAGAGCACAAACATTCCGTTACTTTCATTACGAAAGTCGGAACAACAAGCGATATTGTCGCCGTTCTCTTACCTATTTATTCCAAATTTTTCCGATTGTATCTTCCTCATTTCCTTGTCTATAATCACAAAAGTCAAAAGTATTGCTTGCAACAGGTATTGCATATGGAGTCCAAATGGGTCTTAATCGCAGAGGTCATCCTATCAAACATCGGAGGCACTGCAACAGGTAACTGCACTTCCTAACTTAATAGTATTGTATCGTGTCCCTGATTCTAAGGGGAACCCTTCCTAAGGGGTGGGGGAGGTCCTCACCTAAAGCAAAATCCTAGGAAGTGGGCCCTTAATTTATTGAAGGACCCTCATCCTAGGGTTTTCTGAACATAAAAAATTTCCGACCCACATAGCAGAAGACCCCTACTTAGGATCTTGCTAATTTTTGCTTAACAACAAGGTACAAGATACATATTCTTTCTAATTCTAATTTTTGGGGTCCTTATCATTTGTCTTGGTTAATTATACAAATCAAACTAATTGGTATAATTCTTTCGGGCAAATGAAAGAATTATTCTTTCGACTTCTATTCTGATTTTTTGAGAAAGTTGGAAAATTATAAACAAAACTGACTGTATACTTATAATTAGTCGAATTAAGCTGTGGCTAAATTGATCAAGTTTATTTGTGTATACATGTCTCTAAGCTGTTTTCAGCTATCGGGGACCCTCCTAACGTATTGATTGTGTCATCCGAGCACCTGTCGGGGAGGGGTCTCTCCTTCCCCATCTTCACCCTCCACCTCTTCCCCGGCTCTTTTCTGGCCTGTTTCGGGGCCATGGGTCTCATCCGGGTGCTCTACTCCAGAGTTAGTCTGGAGACCAAGAGAGACGTGGGAGACGTCACTTTCGAGAAAGAGTTGAACATGTGGAGACATACTATGGCAAGGTATGGCAAGGTCATGGCCATTTCTCATTGGTCATGGCCCTCTCTCAGAAACTTTCAAGTACACCAAAATTAAAAGTCGACTTCGGTCTAGGTTTTTGTAGGAGTTCATTGATGCATTCCATATCGACTCCCACACTCGCTAAGGCATTAATGAGCATTGCTAAACCAATTAGTTTCAAATAACTTTTCTTCTATAATTTCAATAACTATAGTTTTACATTTGAAAAACTTTTATAGCAATTTGTAGAGATCAATGCTTGCTTTCTGAAATGCTTCGAAAAAATATTGCAAATTGTAATGTGACAAAACCTTGTTTTTTTTTCGATGTGCTTCGAAATGCTATAAGACGAAACACCGCCTCAAGCTTCGGATCGAAACATTAGTTTCGAGCATTTTTTTCTTAAACGTTCATCTAAACTTGCTTTTCTTATTTGATTTTCAATAATAAACAAAAAATACTGCTCGCATCAGGGCAAAGCCTTAAAAGTTCCGACTGTGGCTTAGGTCTATCAAGAAGTACTCGCTGTTTAAAAGTTGATGATCTTAATTAAAACAAGAATTTTTATTTGATAACATCTCACACGCTATAGGTAGTAGAAATTAGTAGATTTTGCATATAGAAGAGTACTAAATAGACCAAGTAGCAGGTCTCAATTCAATTTGGATTGATTCCAGAGGACGGGTTAAAAAATTCGTTAACGCGTTAATAGCCCGAAATATAACGCGCGTTAAATGTCCCTAATTGGTCAAAATAGCAATCTTTAAACTCCCATAACAGTACGAAAACTTATTATGGCTCAAAATTCTTTTAATTTTTAATTGCGAAAAACAATATCTTTCAGACGGTATAAAATTTACGTCAAAATCCTTAGTTAAAAGTCACAAAATAACTGAAGATTACAACCATTCCAAGCAATAATTGTACTTTCTGCAAAAATTTCATCAAAAATGGCTAGGAAAAAATTCGAATTTTGTCTGCAGAAAAAAAAAACCACTCCGAGTACAAATAATCTGTCAACCTTTTCAAAAGTCGGAACAACAACAGAGCTCGTATCAGGGTAAAATTATGTATATTCTGACTGCCTATAATTGATTTTATGTTTTTCTTCAATTGTTCAAAAAGTTGAGATTATGAGATGATATAAAATTATTCCGTCAAAACTTGCAAGTCAAAATTCCGAACTTTGTCTAGTTAAAAAAACCAATCTTTGCACAATCATTTTGTTATTTTTTTGAAGTTTAATCAATTATAATTACTCTTCTTTTGTAAATTGAGGCATTTGCTGTATCCATTTAAGGAGCAGCCAACTTAAGAGCCACTTAAGAGAGCAGCTCAAAATTGTTACCCTTCATATTCGTTTAGTTTGCGTAAACTAAGAAGTGTGATCTGTTTCAAAGTTGGAGAACTAATTCTTATGGAATTTAATTTGATATGTCCTATACGATTTGCAGGAAAAAACTCCCGCTCTGACAAACTTGAGATTAAAATCAATTGTATTGAATATTCTACAGATAACATACTGCATGAAATCAATTTACGAAACTCATTTAAAGGTTGTTGCCTGAAATGGATTAAGAGCGATGTTCTTGGATTTTCGCAAGGCAGTGAAATCTATCAAAATGTCAAAACAAATATTGTTTTAAAATAATCAATCATTTTAATTCGAAAATTGAGCAAATTTTTTTTCTCAAGAAAAATCTCCATTGGAGATATAGAGAGCAAGAGTCACTTGAGGAGATTTTTTTTACCATTGTAAGCTATTGTGGTGATGGGAGTCTTTTTTGAGTTTTGCAAATCTAAAGGCTTCTGCGGCATGGAAAATAAAGTTATGGAAAATTTCTGAAAATGAATTTTTAACCAATTTTCTAGGCTCAATTATGTTAGACAAATGATGTGTAATCAAAAAACTCAATATAGAACAACTCATTTTTGGTGCAGAAAATTTACAGATTTGAGATGCTCTATGTTTTTTTTTCAGGCGAAACATCAGCAAAAAAGTTAAATGAAAAGCATGCGCTATAATTTCTTGTCCAGTTTTCTCTATTCTTTGATAACCGAGAAATTTTGTATAATCTGTATCAATTGATAAAACAAAAAAAGTAGACAAAAAAGTCAGTAAAAATCAAATTAAATTAATTTAAATTGATTTTGTTGTTACTCAAAATCCGTATGAAAATTAAACCAAAAAAGGGTAAAAAAGAATTTAAATCGATTTCGAATTGATTGAAATTGGTTTATTAGGCTGCATTTTTGTATCAAACTAAAGCGATTTTAAATCGATGCCAATCAATTTTTTCTAAGTTCGAGCAACATTATCTGTATAAATTTGATTGCAATCCATATCTTATCAGTACAGGTATGCAGTAGCAGATTGTAAATGAATGTTGTTTAGCCGCAAATTAAACCTTTTTTTTGCTCCAGAGTCGGAGTTGTGTCACGCGAGGAAAAGAACGTGCGACGTGCTCTTATTGTTCACATGCAACATCTGGTCCAATCCAGACGACGCCACGTGACCAGAATGGAACAACTGGAACAACAGAACAAGGGGGTCCACGGGGGTAAGAGGGGAGTGAATAAAGAAGAGCAGTTCCAGTCTAAGTTGGCTGAACTGGAGAAGAATTACGTCATCAGAGACAAAGTCTTGCTCACAAAGTGCTGTGTTGTCCTCATCTGTAAGTCATCCTAGAGTTTTCTCTAACCTCGCGACAACCTCCACGAAACCCTTCCACGACAAATCTATAAATTACAAAAGCATTTGAAGAATTATTAAATCAATTTAAGAAAAAGCTTCAGCTAAAAGAGGAAGCTTGTGCGAGTGATCTCAACCTTGAGATGTAACGGGTGCTTTTAACGTATCCATTTTAGTTTTTGTTCCGACTTTCGATACGAAAGTAACGGAATATTTGTGCTCGGAGTGGGTTTTTTTTTCTTCAGACAAATTTCGACTTTTTAACTAGCCATTTTTGACGGAATTTTTTTTACATCATTCGAAAGGTATTGTTGTCCTGAGCTCAAATTTGAAAAGATATTTCACCTGTGATCATTTTTCGTAAAGTTACGGGAGTTTAAAGATTGCCATTTTGGCCAATTTGGGACAATTAACGCGCGATATATTTCGCGCTAATAACGCGTAAGCTGAGAGTTAATCCGTCTTAGAAATCGTTCCAAATTGGTTAAAAGAAGCTTATGTGCCATAATTGGTTTGTGACAAGGAGCGAAATCTATCCTTTTGTACTTTGTATGGCGTGTCGGGGGATGATTTTCATAAAAAATTTCAAATTTAAGAAAAAATTTTTTTTTGATTTTTGTTTTGTTTAATTGAGTTTTTAAATGTTTTTACTGCTCCATGAACCTTAAAAGGCAGTCGGAACATTCAGGGGTTCGCCCTGATACGAGCAGTCTTGTTTGTTTTTATTATCATAAACTATCATAGACTTACTAACCAACCATGATCCATTACTAACACTGACGATTATTTGTAATGCTGAAACTACTTGTACTTTCGGCACCAGAACAATTTAAATATAACTTAGAAGACAGTTGTTCTCCTTTGGAATAAGTTCCAGATATCTAACCCGCAAATACCAGTATACATTAGATCTATTGAGACTAGGAGATATAAGATTAAGATTAAGACTAAAAAATTGCACGAATCGACCCGGCCGAAAATAAGATAGCGTGACGAACAGACGGTGTACCTTATCTGAAATTACTCTATGAGTACGCTACTCCAGGCATAAACCAAAAACAAAAAAAACTGCTCTGACCACTTCTGATTTTTATACTAAATTTCATTAAACTTGATGACAGGATACTGAACTTCTAATTGTTCCGACTTTCGATACGAAAGTAACGGAATATTTGTGCTCGGGTGGGTTTTTTTTTCTTCAGACAAATTTCGACTTTTTAACTAGCCATTTTTGACGGAATTTTTTTCTATCATTCGAAAGGTATTATTGTCTTGAGCTCAAATTTGAAAAGATATTTCACCTGTGATCATTTTTCGTAAAGTTACGGGGGTTTAAAGATTGCCATTTTGGCCAACTTGGGACAATTAACGCGCGATATATTTCGCGCTAATAACGCGTAAGCTGAGAGTTAATCCGTCTTAGAAATCGTTCCAAATTGGTTAAAAGAAGCTTATGTGCCATAATTGGTTTGTGACAAGGAGCGAAATCTATCCTTTTGTACTTTGTATGGCGTGTCGGGGGATGATTTTCATAAAAAATTTCAAATTTACGAAAAAAATTTTTTTTTGATTTTTGTTTTGTTTAATTGAGTTTTTAAATGTTATTACTGCTCCATGAACCTTAAAAGGCAGTCGGAACATTCAGGGGTTCGCCCTGATACGAGCAGTCTTGTTTGTTTTATTATCATAAACTATCATAGACTTACTAACCAACCATGATCCATTACTAACACTGACGATTATTTGTAATGCTGAAACTACTTGTACTTTCGGCACCAGAACAATTTAAATATAACTTAGAAGACAGTTGTTCTCCTTTGGAATAAGTTCCAGATATCTAACCCGCAAATACCAGTATACATTAGATCTATTGAGACTAGGAGATATAAGATTAAGATTAAGACTAAAAAATTGCACGAATCGACCCGGCCGAAAATAAGATAGCGTGACGAACAGACGGTGTACCTTATCTGAAATTACTCTATGAGTACGCTACTCCAGGCATAAACCAAAAACAAAAAAAACTGCTCTGACCACTTCTGATTTTTATACTAAATTTCATTAAACTTGATGACAGGATACTGAACTTCTAATTGTTCCGACTTTCGATACGAAAGTAACGGAATATTTGTGCTCGGGTGGGTTTTTTTTTCTTCAGACAAATTTCGACTTTTTAACTAGCCATTTTTGACGGAATTTTTTAATATCATTCGAAAGGTATTGTTGTCTTGAGCTTAAATTTGAAAAGATAGTTCACCTGTGATCATTTTTCGCAAAGTTACGAGGGTTTAAAGATTGCCATTTTGGCCAATTTGGGACAATTAACGCGCGATATATTTCGCGCTATTAACGCGTAAGCGGAGAGTTAATCCGTCTTAGAAATCGTTCCAAATTGATTGAAAGAAGCTTATTTGCCATAATTGATTTGTTACAAGGAGCGAAACCTATCCTTTTGTACTTTGTATGGCGTGTCGGGGGATGATTTTCATTAAAAAAATTCAAATTTTAGAAAAAAAAGTTTTCATTTTGTTTCATTTCATTTAATTTTTTAAATGATATTACTGCTCCATAAATATTAAAAGGCGGTCGGAACATTCAGGGCTTCGCCCTGATACGAGCAGTCTTGTTTGATTTTCTGCAAATTTTCATTATTTTTGGAATAATAACCTCTCCTTTTTGAGTTTTTCGTGATGCTATTGCGCTATCCTGGCTATCCTGGCTATCTTGGTTATAAATTGATAGTTTATAAATGATAATTTGTGTAGCGGTAGTGTGCATGTTGTTCATGCAGTCCACTCCCCTCTTCTCCACCGAACTGGGCATAGTGGCTGTGCTGGCTGCCATCCTCCTCCTCCTACTCACTGATCTCCAGGAGTTGCAGGATGTGTTGCACAGAGTAGAGTGGGACACCCTCATATTCTTCGCATGTCTGTTCGTCGTCATACAGGTACAACTCATTCTAAAACAAGTTGCAACAAGTCTATTCGCAAGTCGCGGCGAAGCTTTGAATGTTCTCACTGCACTTTGATTTGAAATGTGTTTTTTTTTAAATGGCTTTACTTCGAAAAAAAAGGATTACAGGTGATTTTTTTTCAATTGAGTTCCAGATAATAACATCTTTCAGATGGCAAAAAAATTTTCTGTAAAAAACTCTTAGTTAAACAGTCGAAAATTGATTGAATAAAAAAACGGGCCCAAGAATAAATATTCCGATTTCTTCGAAAATCAGAACAAAAAATTGGATCAGACAAAATTATTAAAAAAGCAATCTGCTAAATTTTGATTCTTTTTCACTAAGAGACCAATCTGTGTATTTTGTTAATTGTAGATTCCGCAAAAAGATCACTCTCTTTAATTTTTTTTTATCTTGTGCTTCATTTGAACATGTCGTCAAATGTCAGCGTGTCCAAAGACTTGTCTATGGATGCCAGTGAACTACACTCTCCGAGTTGTGTGCCTATCCAGTGCAGTAGAGCCTCGTAAAATGCTAGTCATACATTTTTCATGCAATTCCACAAGTACCAAAAATTGCATGAAAAGTATAAGATTAGTGATTTTTCATATATAGAAATTGTATTACTAAAATTTTTCCATAAACCCAAAAATTGATTTTTTTAAGTTAAGAATTCGGGTCGTGCTTGTAACCGAACACAAATGAAAATGACCTTGGTTTACTCAAAACTAAAGTCATCGAAGGTTAGACGGTCTTACAATTTCAATGCACAGCAAACGACCAGAATTCTTTAAGAGTTGTCTTACCTGAGTGTTATTATAGAAGTATAAAACAATTAAATTCCGGCCAAAATTTTTAAAATTGAATTTATTTTAAAAACCTTTTAAAAATAACTCCCTTAAAAGACTGTTTAGAATTTTAAAAAAAATCATGTTGAGTTCGCTTAATTCAGTTTTTTTTCTCGAAATAGTCAACCAATAAAGTCGAGATCCAGGTCAAGATCCATGTTCCGAGATTGTTTTTTAAACAATTTAACTAAAATACGATGCTGGCGCGAGTTAAGCATTTATTGCCCAATTTTTAGAAACTTTTTAGAAGAGAAAAAAAAGCAATTTTTTTCAAAGATTTTAAAATTTCGCAAGCTGGCTTAGACTGAATTTATTGTGAATTATAAAAAGAAATTCGCTATAATTTTTTCAATTTGGATTTTCTTCATACCAAAAAACGCGAAACTCAAACAAACATAATCTATTAAGGACGAATAAAAAAGTAATTTTTTGCTTCGAAACATACTTGCAAAATATTCCCGTTCCAAAAGTTTTATCATCTTTAGGAAGACATACAATCAATTTGTTTTTGCAGTCCAGTCCATTCACCTCAAATGGGAAGCAAAAATTGTGAACCTGTAATTTCAGTTGTTTCTTCTTTGTGTTTTGATTTATATTTATTTTGATTTATATTTATTTGGTAAGAAAAAAAATTATTATTTTCTTTTTTTTTGTTGATTTGTTTTTAATGACATGATTGTGGCAGCTTATTAGTGTGATCATGATAATGAGTGATAATAAGGTTTTTATCTGCTTGTCAATTGATGAAACTTAACTAGTTAGAAATTCTTCCAGAGAAAAAAGTTTTTTTTATTACTACTTGTTATTTTTAATATTTTTTATTAAAACTATATTTACTTGCAGTATAAGTCCAGACGCTTGGTGCATCCCATGATCCCGTTGTCAGCTGTCTTCTCCAAATTTTGTTGCATTATGTATAATTTTATTCAAATTTGATTCACATCTTTTTTTGTTTAAACGCGGATATTCAACAAAACGACATAATTGATGCCAAAATTACATTAGAATTACGTAAACTATATCAGCATAATTCAATTATCATCAGCATAAATAAGCGTAACAATTTCAGCGTAAAAACAACAGCTTTAGGTAACAATTGCTTAATAACAGTGAAAATTTGTGGATATGTTGCAAAAAATATCTTTTTTTGGTTTTTTGGAATGGTAATCTTATCTTCGGCTGGTTGGCCTTTCGGTTTGCTGGCCTTTCACCATACTAAACAAGGACTGCATAACTTTTTCATGAGGCGCATAGCTCTGAAAGCAAAATTTAGCTTCTTTCCGACCACCCAGCCCCTGCCGATTTTGTACTTGTAGCGCTTGGGTAGTGATGGTACCCAGCTATCATATGATTCCGGGTTCAAATCGCACATGCGCTGGAATTTGCAAGATGAGCTCTTGTAAGATAACCATAGCTTAGTTAAACTTAAATAACTAATCTTTGGGTTAGGCCTCTGCCATGTTAACTCAAAAAAATAAACCTTTCATACACAGGTATGATTGTTGTAAAAACTGTCATGCTGACCAATTAGACTCCTCAAAAACTAGTTTAAAACACTTACTTTATAAAAACCACTTATTACACCCCGAAAAAATACGTGCTTGATAAGCGTACGTGAGGTGGATGGGGGCGAAAAAAAAAGAAAATTGATTTTTTTCTAAATATATTTCATTTGAGGCAATGAACGAGATGGGTCTGATCTCTTTCCTGGTGGGTGTGAGCACAGAGTTGATTGGCAGTTTCCCCTCCTCCCTCCAGTTCCCAGTGGCACTCACTGTGGTTCTATGGACATCCGCCCTCGTCTCCTCCTTCATAGACAACATCCCCTTCACTCAGGCCATGATCCCGGTCATAGTGGACTTGTGTGACCAGAATCACCACTTGTACCTCAAACCACTCAGTTAGTATTTTCTCTGCACAATTCGGTTAACAGCATCAAACAGCTATAGCACAGCGTGTAACTTGTTTATTGGAATGTAGAAATGATTCTATTGTTTTGATTCTGGATTAGCCAAAAATTTCCCTCAATGATCAATGATTTGTTTATGAAAACAGTTGGCTTATAATGCAATTAACTTTTTGAGGGTTTGCTCTCATTTAGGAAGAGGGTGAGTTTCCTAGAGTCTCCCAGAGACGGTTTTGATTGTCTCATTTGCTGATATATTTTGTCTTCTAAATTCTAAGTTAAAAGAAAATGTATTCAAAAACGAAGGTGATACGTTTGTTACACAAAACATAAATCAAGCAAGTAGCGGATTCAGGGGGGATTCGATTCCCTGCCGACCCAAAAGGTCTCGTTTTGTTTTATTTTGAGATATATATATATTTGGTGAGCTACCCTTTAAATTTTTCTAAAAGCGCCTTAGGCGCCAATAAATCCAAATATTTGGAGGGAGGGGAGCGCGCCGAAAAAACGCGATTTTGTGGTCAAAATTTTCCAAAAAGTGCCAAAAGAAGCCTTTTTGGCCCATCAAAACTTTGCCTACAGCGCAGAAAATTTGACCGAACCAGGGTCTTTTTTAGTGCTTTGGAAGAGCTCGGAAAATCAATTTATTTAACCTTAACTAAAAAAAAGTTTTCTGAAAATCTGCCCCCATCGAGAAAATCCTAGATCCGCCCCTGAATCAGGCGATTAAAAAATGGGTCCGATACATGTTGCAACGCTTGAAAATTGGCTGCGGAATCCACTGACATACAATGGGTTCTAGCGACAAGAAGAAGAAATTGACCGCGGAATCCACTGACAAATGGTGAAATCCAGCGAAATTTAATGGAATCCACATCAAAGGCCAAAACACGTTTGTCAGCGTATTCCACTGACAAAAAAATAATTTGTAGGCATTTTTTGTAGGGATCATTTGATAGTGGAATCCACTGACAGAAGTCTCTAAAACAAGCAAAAATGTGTCCGTGAAATCCAGACGCGTGAAAGCACAAACATGTGCTTAGTTATAAAGCCGAGCTTGGCGTTGTAATGTTACAAAAAAGAACGAAAATTTTTTTTATAAAGAAGCGAAAATTTATCTGTTATAAAAGAGAACGCAACATTTTTTATAGCATAATTTAGTCCAGAAAATGGCCAATTTGGCAATTTTCAAACCACAAAAAACAATCGGAGGTAAAATATCTTTTTAAATTTGAACTCAGGAAGTCAATACCTTCAATGGGCTTTGAAAAATGTTTGTTGAAAATTATTATTTCGATCGACGCAAATTGGCTGAATAAAAAAAAGCACACCGAGCATAAATATTTTGTTTTCTTAGAAAATCGGAACAAAAAGATTGTTCATACTATCCTCTAAGGATACGACCACACACAAATAAAACGCTCAGGAATTAAAATTTAAATACTTAGCTCTGCAGCTGATAAAATAAAAATTTAATTTGTTTTCCAGTATACGCGCTGGCTTTCGGCGCTTGTTTCGGTGGAAACGGGACAATAATCGGCGCCTCGGCCAACGTAGTTTGTGCAGGCATAGCTGAGAGCAAGGGCACCAAGATATCTTTCAAAGACTTCTTCATCATCGGATTTCCCGTCATGCTTCTAACCACTACAATCGCAACTGTCTATTTGTTCACAAGTCACTTATTGCTGCAGTGGGGAAACGAATGAAAAACTTCAAAACCAGCTGATTCGCGGAGAACAGAAATCAAACAGTGTACTTAGTTTCTAACAAAATTATCTGCATATTCATAAACTTTTTTAAAGCATCCAACTATTGACCAAATTTAAAAAAAGATTTGTCATTGAAACCAAATTTAAAACTTCCATTTAAAAAAATTGCCCAAAAATTTTCTCGCTTGCTTTATTTGCAATAGAATGAGTCAATTCTTTTGTCAGGCATTTTTCAAAGTTGATCAGCTACACTCTTCATTTATGAAAAAACGACTGACCATCCTGGCACAGTTGTGATCTAATGTAGTCTGTACGTTCCGCGGAAGCATCCTCGTGATTAGCGCAGAGTGGCCATTCCTCCTTTGAAGTCATTTATTACAATCCTTAGAGAAATTATAAGAGCACCAGATGATGTTTTCCTTTACTGATGATTTATCCGAAGGATTTTTGATAGAGTACTCAAGTTTACTGAAGAACATTTTGATACCTGAAGATTAGCACCGGTTTATAGGGTAATATTTGCTCCTTGATATGCCAATATAACAGAATTAGGGTAAAGCAAAATGTTTACGAAGATTTATAATCATTTAGAAAGTTTTCAAGTTCGTTATTAAAAAGTTCGCTATCTAGATCAGAATGATCTCCAAAATTTTCTAATTCCATCCTCAGCGATTCGTCCGTTGATGAGGTTGACATTTGGTCTGAAGATGTTGGACGTGAGTCTAGAACAATTAACTCCGCCGGAGTCGTCTTGTTGTTGGTCTCCTGTGATTCCTCAATTTCAATCACGATAGGATCGGTCGCCGAACCGGAGGCTTCTTGAACGTTCTCTACGGCATCAATAAAATAACGTTTGCCATAAAATTTTGGTGGGCCGACATTTCTACTAGAACGGCGGATGGTAGGAGGAATTTTACCGGATATGATAGTAGGATTGGGAGATACAGTGCACTCGTCAGTTGAGTCGCTTATCTCGTAGACCGGGAAATCTGTAACTGAGTTGTTATCCGTTGGATTACACTCGTCTTGCAGGTCCTGTTGTTCAATGGTGTCTTTGTCCCCTCCCTGGTTCACTGTTCTCTGTTCCGCAGTACTAGGTGTTCGGCAAGCGGGTATTATGCTTATTGGGCACTCGTAAGATTGGTCCATAGGTTGTTCTCTGTTAGGGTCAATGTCGTTTTCTAAAATCTCAGATTTTATTTCAGGATTTGTTACAGCGGAATTAGAATTATTTTCGATTGAGAGGTGAGGTGTATTTGAGTCTGAAATAAAGCGTTCTCTGGCTACGTCTCTACAAGGAAAACCGCCCGCTATCCATTCCCATTCGCTAGTATCCGAAATATCCGAAGGAATTAGCATAGATTCATCCGAAGCAAGATAACCTGGAGGAGTTGAAGACTTCTTTGAGTGGCGTGCTTGTCTTCTTGTAGATTTGTGCGATGACCCTGATATGCGTGTCCTAGTTAAGTTGTCGGATGTGGTCGGATCCAACTGTCTGGTCATTTTTTGGTTGGCTTTTTTGATCTTGGTTTCCGTGTTGGGCCTTCCTGTTTCTGACCTACTTCAACATTAGCATTAGGAAAATACGGGAATGAAACGTTTCCTTTAAAAGGTCTGATTTTATTTGAGGTAGAAATCGGAATCGCAATGTCGGATTGTTGTATTATTTTTCCGTCGGATAACTCTACTGTCGAAGTGGATGAATTTATAATTCTTTTATTTAGTTCCTTATAGAAACAGTCTCGGTTTATGTTACCGTTAGATTTCCGAAGGATTTTACCTTCGATTGGACTTTTGATTGGTAGTCTATTGGAGGTGATTTTCGAGGATGAAGCATAGTCTGTGTCGTAGCCTTTTTCAGTCGAGTTTTGGTTCTTCTTGGCTATCAAATCGTCCTTGTAGCCGTCCTCTAGTCTATCATCCGCGTTCCAATCCTTAGCTCATTCCTTAGACAGTATTGATTTCCCTTTTTCTAAAATTCCAAAGGAGGGTTTACCAGAAGCTAATTGTTTCCAAATAGTATTTGGTTTTCTGTTATAGTGAATCTCGAAGGGTGAACATTTAATTTTTGATTGATAGGTAGAGCGTAAATTCCAGATGATTTTTGAAACGGCATTTTGCAGTGTACATTTATGATGTTCTTTTGAAATAGCCAGTAGTTTGACTTTCACAGTGTGTACTAATTTTTCGACTAATCCGTTGGAACGATGGTCGCCTACTGTACAAAAGATTATTTTGATGTTGTTGGAATCGCAGAATAATTTACAGTCTTGGCTTGTAAAGCAATTAGCATGATCTACCCTTATAGAATAAGGTATTCCGAGTAAGAATATGTAGTCTTGTAAAAATTCTATAACTGTTTTTGAAGAAGTAGACGATGTAATTTTTGCCGACGGAAATTTAGAAAATCTGTCAATGCAAAGTAAAATGTATTTATTTGCCCCCCAATAAGAATCCAAAGGACCAGCGAAATCTAAATTAAGTTCTTCGTTTGGTTCCGATAATGGAGG